GCAATCACAACAGACAGCTAATGACTTCGCTACTCGACTCTCCCAATATCTGGAAAATTCATCTGAAGGAGCCGATATATGCGCGCAATGGAACCACATCTCTAACTCTATGCGTACCGCTGCAGAAGAGGTGATCGGCTATCACCGTATACAAAGAAACAGCTGGTACGACCAAGAGTGTCGCAATGCTACCGCAGAGAAAGACGCAGCATATCAAGCCACCCTGCGGTCAGTTGCGACGCGCGCTGTTAAAGAGCGATATCGGCAAAAGAGAAGGGAAGAGAAACGTCTTTTCAGGCGAAAAAAGAAGGAAACAGAAAGACGTGAGTACGAAGAGCTTGAGAAGCTGGGCGACAGGAATATGGCTCGAAAATTCTATCAAAAAATTATGGTTATAAACCCGGAGCTAATTCCTGCAAAGATGAAAACGGTAATCTGGTGATAGATGTCCAAAGCATGCTTAATATTTGGAGGGATCACTTCTCGAAACTACTAAATGGCGGTAGTAGCAATGTGACTGAAAGCGAAGATGATCCCGAATTTTCAATCGTTGACGATGAAATAATCGTCCCGCCTCCCGATCATAATGAAGTTAAAACAGCTATAACGCGGCTCAAAAACAACAAAGCTGCAGGCGCCGATGGTTTACCGGCTGAGCTGTTTAAAGCTGGTGGCGAAGAGCTATCAAAATGCATGCTACAGCTAATTCGCAACATTTGGTCGTATGAATGCATGCCCAACGATTGGAATTTAAGTGTGCTTTGCCCAATCCACAAAAAAGGTGATCCTGCAAACTGCGCCAACTACCGCGGGATCAGTCTTTTAAATATCGCATATAAGGTTCTGTCAAACGTACTATGTGAAAGATTAAAGCCAATCGTCAACCAACTGATTGGACCTTATCAGTGTGGCTTCAGACCTGGCAAATCCACTCTAGACCAGACAGTGCGTCAAATCCTGGAGAAGACTCAAGAAAAACAAATCGACACACACCACCTATTTGTCGACTTCAAAGCTGCTTTTGACACTACTACTAGAAGTACACTCTATGCCGCTATGTCTGAATTTGGTATCCCAGCAAAACTTTTACGGCTATGTAAAATGACGTTGATACCTCTCCGAGCCGTTTGATACCAAACGAGGTTTCAGACAGGGTGACTCCTTGTCGTGTGACTACTTTAACCTAATGTTGGAAACGATAATTCAAGCAGCAGATTTAAACCGTACTGGCACAATATTCTACAAAAGTGTAATGCTGCTTGCGTATGCCGACGATATTGATATCATTAGTCTGAACACTCGCGTCGTCAGTGCGGCATTTTCCAACTTAGAAAAACAAGCAAAGCAAATGGGTCTTGTGGTAAATGAGGACAAAACAAAGTACTTTCTGTCAACAAACAAATCTCCTGAGCGTCTTGGGACCTACGTTACTGTTGACAATTATAAGTTCGAAGTTGTGAAAGACTTTGTTTATTTAGGAACCAGCTTAAACACCAAAAATGACGTCAACCTAGAGATTCAACGAATAATTACTCTTGCCAACAAATGTTACTTCGGGCTAAGTAAGCAATTGAGAAATAAAGCCCTCTCTCGACAAACAAAAATCACGCTCACAAATCCGTTATCATGCCTGTCCTGCTGTATGGTGCAGAAGCTTGG